CAAAATATAATTTTCTCTACATTGGCTTTAAACACAAAAAGAATGTTTAAAAAGTTTTGTTTTTCGTTGAGTGCCAATAATTATTCTTGGCGAAAATTGGAGTGGAGACGTATTTAAATTATAAATATTCTATCAGATGATGCATTTAAGTGTTAAATGATATTTTTTATTTATTAATATTTTTTACTTATGTTTTTATTCACTCATATTATTTAAGTATACTTGTATTATATTTTTATATTAAAAAAAAAAAAATATATATATATTATATACGACAAAAACAAAAGCGACAAACGACATAAAAATAGTGCAAGTTTCTTAAAAATACGAATTTCGTTTACGTTTTATGTGATATATGAGAATGATATTCTCACGCGTTGTTCTAAAAATATAACGTGAACGTATTCTTTCCCAACGGCCAACAGTGATCAACGAAATTATCGACACTAATCGATATCATGAACATTGAAAATTGCTACAGTATCGATGTCGAATTTCAAAGGGTTCATTTTAGTGATTGATAATTGATAACTTTAGTTGGTGATGAGTTAACGTATTGAAATATCTTGTGTATGATTATAGATAATTACTATCTCAGGAAGCTAATGATGTATTTAGTTTTATCAAAATTAGTACATGTTATTATCAAACATGCTATCTACTTTGTATAATATTCAGCTGCATTTGATTTTTAAATATAAATATAGACACGTCTTAAAAAAAAAAAAAACACTTAATTTATCGCTATTAAATTAACAACATTAACTATATAAAATTGTTAATGTATAAAATGTAAAGAAGATTTTACTCTATAGGTTTTTTGATTCTTTACTGTACTTACTCAGCTAGCGCTAGATGTCTGCACTCTGCAGCAATGAACGGATATCGACATATTATCGTCCCACCCATACCTACCCTCACAAAAGACACTTTAACACTTAAAGTTACTCATTTCCAGCTCTCCCTATTTTAGTCGGTGATACCAACTACTAATAATAAGTAATTGAACATATATAACATGACTATTGTTAATTTAAATTCAAATAATATTTCTAAGATAACACAACTTATCATAAAATATTTTAATATATTCAGTATTTCAGCATGACGCCATGACGTATGTTTCCYACAGTGATTAAAAAAATTATTTTCAATTTTTATTACTCAATCAAATTTGTTTTTGTTTATGACATTATTTCAGTTATTTTCTCTTAAATCACAAATAGTAAAACGGATCGTTTATAAACAACAATATCAACTTGCAATAATTCACACTCTACGTAAAATATTTTATCATTATCATCCTTTCCATTTTGCGAGTCATTAATCTCGATGCGCCAGGACATATTTTTGTACGGCTACACTRCGGTTTTGCGTTGTTGAATGTGACCAGTGCGTTAGGTACCAGTGGTATACTCACCATTTGGCTTATTTTTTGTCTATTAATTTTTCTTAATATACTAATAAAGTAAAAATTATAGTTTTAAATGTTTTTTCGGATAATTTTTATTATTTCATGTTTTATCTATCAAGTTAAGTTTGATGATAATAATAAAAATATGTGATTAAGTAATACAATCTTATTTATCATGGGTCGATTTACGCCAAGGCGTTACTAATAACGCCTGCAGTTCTTTATTTTGAAAAGAAATTGAAAGGGGTATGAAATAGTTGGAATAAATCTGCGTACCTCAATATTTAAATGTCTTAATGTTTATTTAGAATGGGTACGCATTAATATATTTAAAAAAAAGTAAAGGGACTCCGTCTCCATATGTCTCCTCGTAATTTAAACAAGTTTATAACTTACCTATACGTACTGGTACTATACAATACGATTTAACATAATATCCTAAATCGTGATATCAAGTTTATAGACGAATAACTCAGGCTTGTGCGTTGGCTCATTTCAATGATTTTCGGAGGTTCTGAGGTTCTGACCTTAGTTAAAAATTCATTAGTCTAAAATTATCCCCATTATATCAACAGTTATAAGCAGAGCTAGGATTTGTATTCAATAAAAATTGTAAAATATGCATTTTATTTACCAAAAYATGCAAAARTATGCATTTTAATTTCTATCTTWGATTTTATATTGACCGACATACTTTTATTAATTGTGTTTATCTTTCTCCGTCAAACTATTCAATCTTTAATCGCATACCTATTGTACCATAGGATTGTATTTATAA